ATTTCATGTATGACTAAGATGTCAAAGAGTATACTGTTATGTAAATTATGATTTTTCCTATTTGTTTTTTGTGTTTCCTTCTGACTGGTATTTGTTGAATAGACTGTGAGACTTGTGATAATACAAAAAATCTGGAGTTGGAGATATCTTGCCTGTGAGTCATATTAGGACCTAGACTTTCCAGAATCTATCCCCTCTGTGGTTCCATGTTAGCATTCACCAACAACTCACCTGTGTGTGTGATTTTAAAGCAGATGCAGAGAAGACATTCTTCAGATCATGGAGCCTGCACACTGGGAGAGAGGCAGATACGTAGGAGCTTCAAGGACACCATCTCCCAGCTTATTTTCCAGATTCTGTGTCCTTGTAGTCAAGAGTGTCCTCAACACCACCAAAAAATGTTAGATTTCCATCTTTATAGACATGTAGTCTCCCCTGATATCTTCACAGCTTACACATCAAATATCCATCAGAGTTTAAATTTTTTCTGTAAGGCCTCTTGTGTCCACTTTGAAAGTTATTTCAGTATTTTATGGTTGGAAATATTCTCTGATTCCACTCCTCTCTGGATTATATCTAGTGTCTAATATGTGTAGGAAACACTTTATGTTGTTAATAATACTAGTAAGTATGTGTTCCTGACTCACCACGACATTCACAATGGTGTCGCTAATAAGAATGACATGGGAGTTTGTTTCTCTGCTGCACTGTTCAGTGGCATTGGTGATCCATTGTTTCCATGTGACAATAAGCACCTCCTTCTGTCAAGATGGCTGTGGGTGTTTCCTGTTGCTTGTAGCTGAATATAATCCCCCAATATGTTTTTTATTGTATTTTATTTTACATGATTAAAACTGCTTGAGTTTTTTGTGAAACAGTAGTTTTTGTAGTCTTTTCAAATATTTTACCAACTCTTTTTGAAGCTTTCATTAGCTAACAAATGTTGTTTTTCATTTCCTCAAAGAATATATTAAAGTACCCATTTTATGTACGAATATTCACGAAAAATATATATATACAATGCAGCCTTGATTATATCCATCTTTACATGAATGCAGTTACAAAATGTAATTTTTAATACTTTTCTGTGGATGAATGGGTCCACGAAGGTGAAAGTGCCTAGGGCCCATGAAAGTGACAATGTAG